CCTCTACGACTCTCTATTCTATGCCTATAGACCTCCAACTCGTAAACCCAAAACCCCAAATCTCGAAACCCTACACCTTAAACCAAAAACACGCGAACCTACAGCACCATCAAACTCTAAACCCTAAACCCTCAGATCCTAAACCCTAAACCCTCAACCCTAAACCCTAAACCCTGAACCCTATAGACCCTATAGACCCTTTAGACCCTCAGATCCTAAACCCTAAACCCTAAACCCTATAGACCCTATAGACCCTCAGATCCTAAACCCTAAACCTGAGAGGCCTCAAACCCTAAACCCTGTAGACTCTAAACCCTAAACCCTATAGGTCCTAAACCCTAAACCCTAAATAGTATAAATCCTAAACCCTAAACCCTAAACCCTAAACCCTAAACCCTACATAGTATAAACCCTAAACCTTAAACCTGAGAGGCCCTCGAGTACCTGGAGAAGAACTCCATCCCGAAGCTGCTCGAGCCGGGTCCCCCAAAATCTAAGGTTCGAAGGTTTAGGGTTTAGGGTTTAGGGGTTTAGAGTTTAGGGGTTTAGAGTTTAGGGGTTTAGAGTTTAGGGTTTTGCAGTTTAGGGGTGTAGAGTTTTAGGGTTTTGCAGTTTAGGGGTTTAGGGTTTAGGGGTTTTGGGTTTAGGGTTGAGGGTCTGGGCCCCTAATGTGGACCCCTAGGAGTTTCTAGGGACCCTTAAGGGTACATATAGGGTATATATATATATATAGTAGGTCCCCAAAATCTGCAGGTTCGAAGTCTGGGCCCCGAAATTGGACCTTTAGGGTTTAGGGTTTAGGGTTTAGGGTTTTGGGTTTAGGGTTTAGGGTCTATAGGGTTTAGGGTTTAGGGTTTAGAGTTTAGGGTTTAGGGTTTAGGGTTTAGTCCCTAGGCCTTTCTAGGGACCCTGAAGGGTACATATAGGGTATATAGTAGGTCCCCCAAAAAGGTGTCAGAAGGTAGCGAGGCTGAGGAGCGGTTTTGTGGAGGGTTCCATAAGAGTTTGAGGGTTTGGGGGGTTTAGGGTTTTGGGGGTTTTAGGGTTTGGGGGTTTGGGGTCTAGGGTTTTGGGTTTGGGGGTTTGGGGTTTAGGGTTTGGGGTTTGGGGGCTTATGGTTTAGGCTTTGGGTTTAGGGTTCAGGGTTTAGGGTTTAGGGGCGTTTAGGGGGGTTTAGGGGGGTTTAGGGGGGTTTAGGGGGGTTTAGGGTTGGGGTTGGTTACTCTGTTAGAAGGGGTTGCTGAGGTGAGTCCAGGCCTGTGACTTAGGGCCCTGCTGAGGACTTGAATCGAAGCCCCAATCATAAGGCCCTCGGCACAAGAGTTCCTTTTGAACAGTTCTTGGGCGCAGCCCTACGCCCTAAACCCTAAACCCTAAACAGGGGTGTGGGGTTTAAGGGGTCGGACTATGGGGGTCTAGGGCCTAGGGCTGCAGGTCTGCGGCGTCACGGGTTTATGGAAATACGGTTTCGGGGGTCTCAGGATTCGAGTTTCGGGTTTCGGCTCTTGGGTTTAGGGTTTAGGGTTTAGGATTGGGGGTATCCTTTCATGGGGTCCACTGCGTCGGTACCCGCCCTGCAGGCAGAAGAGGAACATCATGCAAGTGCAAAGGTGTTGTTCCCTTTTGTCCTCGGTCTGATGATGGCAGGTACATTGCACTTCTAGTGCTTATATCATGCACGTGCACTACATTGCCCATGTCCTTGTTCAGCTACAACATGACAACACGTCAAAAACGCCTTGCATGTATGCTGCATGGGCAGTACGCGTACTTAAAATCCGCACTTGCAGACAAGGGGTAACGTAGAGAACGTAGCATCAAGCAAAACAGATTTAACTACAGTCTAGCAAGGAGCAGTGCACCGGAGCATGTTTATTGCAGACTGTTCTGTCGGTAGACGCTTTCTGAATCTAAAACCCTGAGCCCTCAAACTTGACCAATTCAAAACCCTGCCTGCCGACAAACCCTGAAGTCTGCAACAAACCTTTAGCCAAACGCCCTCAAACATAAAAGCCCCCAGCGAACCCTAAACCACCGAAGCTCCGGAAACAAACAACCCTACACTCCATGAACAGCAACCCCCCTAAGCCAGAAGCCCTAAATCCTTTTAGGCCTAAACAACCCGAGACCCCAACCCCTAAACCCTAAACCCTAGACCCCGAAACCCCTAAAAAAGAAAAAACCCAAACCTCTAAAGCCTAAACCCTGAACCCTGAACCCTAACCCCCAAACCCCTAAAGCCTAAACCCCCAAACCCCCAAACCCCAACTCCTCAACCCCTAAACCTCTAAACCCCAAACCCTTTAAGGCCTAGAACCGCCAAAGCCCCAAAGCCACCCTAGGAGCCTCCTGGCCCGCGCCGTTCTTGAGCGACCGCCGGACCGGTTTGAAGGGGCTGAATAGAGGTTCCTTTACAGGAGCCCTTTAGAGGGGCCCTAAAAAAGGAACCCTTTAAAGGAACCCTTTAAAAGGAACCCTGTAAAGGAACTCCTTTAAAGGGACTTTTATAAAGGAGCCGTTTAAAGGAGCCCGTTAAAGAAACCCTTTTAAAGGAACCCGTCAGTTCCTTTAAGGATGACTGTAAAGGTCCCTATAAGGGCTCTATCATTATCGTTTCGGGTGCTTGGTTTGGGGGTAGGGGTTGTGCGGTCTCACGGGTATGGGGGCTGGGGGTGTAGGGTTTATGGGTAATGAGTTTCCATGTGGGTTTGCCTAAACCCTAAACCCTAAGCCCTAGGCCCTAAACATTGAGGGTTCAGGTCTTTGGGTTCAGAGTTTAGGGGTCTAGCGTTTAGGGTTTGGTCTTTCATGGTCTTCGGGTTCAGAGTTCAGTTTAGGGATCCAGTGTTTAGGTTTGGGTTTCCATGGTTTTGGGTTGTGTTTTCCATGGTTTAGGGTTGAGAGGGCGTTGGAAAGGTCCCTGCAGTGGTGCTGCAGGACCTGCGCAACTTCCTCATAGAATCCCTGCGGGATCTGAAGGTGCCGTGCATTGTCTGACAGCCACTCATATTGAAGATGCCTTGCAATGATGCAGGCGCAGAGAGAGTCGCCATCTATGGAGCTCTTTACCGTTGAGGCAGCGACAGCGAATGATGCCAATACTGTCAGCTTACAATCAATCGCTGGAAGACCAGGACATAGAGACCATGTTTGACATGTGGGACTATGACAAGGCGGGCTGAACCAGCCGTTACTGCATTGCCATAGTGCCACGAGTCACGCGTGGAGGCTGTCTGAAATGAGGGTTCTATTTCAGCTCTCTTCATACGCGTTGACTTCATCAAGTTCCGTCCAGGAACCTGATCATGTCCTCTCCGATACTAGTTGATGTGCCTGTGAGGTGGGAATGATCGCGGCGTCCAAAGTCATGGAGACTTTGAAGGTAGGAGCTGCAGCATGAACGGTTCTATAAAGGTTCTATTGCAGGGTTTTTGAAAGGTTCTTTTGGCGTTTTATGAACATGCGTGCAAGTCCCTGACTGAAGACCCCTGCAAGGCCTTAAACTGCAGCGATCTCAGCGAGGCGGGGCGATGCCAAGTTGCACGAACTGCCTTTGCGATGATATAGGGGCCTTAATAACTAGAATAGGGTTTTGGGGCCCTTTATACTATAATTATAATAAGGAGACCCCCCAAATAGCATAGGTAATTATTTAGGCCCCTATATCGATGTTGAGCTTTTTTGCCAGGCTGCAGTCATCAAGATGGTAAGTGTCCTGTTCTGCCACGTTGCAAGGCTTCTATGCGATAGACGGGCGCATGAGTGCAATGCCTCTGTGTAGAAGTGATGGTCGCGAGCTGATGTCTACCTCCAACTCTACGCCGTAACTCCCTTCTTTAACACGGGAGCATAAATGTTCACTATTTTGCTGTCTGTCTTTTCCTTCACCCAAAACCCTAAACCCTAAACCCTAAACCCTAAACCCTAAACCCTAAACCCTAAACCCTAAACCACCAACAACAAAATCCCCCCACGCCGGCAGGAAGAGCTTCGGTCGAGACCTTGGTCGCAGCTGTCAGAAGTCGACAAGACCTCCTTTGTGAAGTACGTGAGGCTCACGGTTTAGGGTTTAGGGTTTACTGTGGGGTTTAGGGTTTAGGGTTTAGGGTTCAGGGTTAAGGGTTTAGGGTTTAGGGTTTAGGGTTCAGGGTTTACGGCTTGCTGTGGGGGTTAGGGTTTGGGGGTTTAGGGTTCAGGGGTTTCGGGTTTAGGGGTTTAGGGTTTAGGGGTTTAGGGTTTAGGGGTTTGGGGTTTACGGTCTACTGTGGGGGTTAGGGTTTAGGGGTTTAGGGTTTAGGGTTTGGGGTTTAGGGTTTAGGGTCTAGTATTCAGGGTTTAAGGCCTGCGTGTCCCAATAAAGGTCGCACTTTGATCTTGGACTCGACGAGACGCTGGATAATGGTGGCTGACATGTCGAGTTGTTCGATAGTCGAGTTTGTTGATAGGATTTGGGATCAGGGTGTACTACGGGCTCAGAAGCGGCAATACTGGGGTCTAGGGTTTCGTAAGTTTAGTAATTGTACGCCTTGTTGAGTAGGTAACGTGACTGTTTTCAGGTTTGGGGGGGTACATAGACTCAGTAGCATTCATATGATTTGGCAATCATAAGGGGATCTGTAGTTCAGTAGGGCAGGTTCAAGGGCCGTGAAGAAGAATGCTCTGAGTCATAGACAGTCCATTAAGCTTGGGGTTCAGGGTTTCAGGATTCACGGCTTCAGGGGTAGTGTGGAAGCCCTCAAACCCTGAACTTCAAACCATAAACCCCAAACCATTAAACCTTCATCCCCAAACCTTACGCCCCAAACCCTAAACCCAAAGCCCTAGAGAAGAGGCTGCAGAGCTCGTGGTTTCGAGTTGACGGTGTTTGGGTCCAAGGGCTGTCTTGAGGTGGGAACTACAGAACAAAAGTAACCCCAACCCCCCATAAGCCCAACCCCTATAGGCCTAATCCCTAGACCCTGAACCCTGAACCCTAAACCCTAAACCCTAAAACCCCTGAGGTCGTGGTTGCCAGGCAGCTGCTTGAAGCCGCGGCTGCCCCGCATGCGACTGCCGGGCCGGGCCGGTGGCCGCTGCACGAGGCCGGGCGCCTGTGACTCGGATTTGGACCTCTAATTACTCGGTTTAGAGGTAGAGAGAGCCAGAAAGAGAGAGAGAGAGAGAGAGAGAGCGAGATAGAAGAGTGGGAATGTGTGCGTGCGTGCGTGCGGATGCAGATTTAAAGGTATTGGCCATAGAGGGCTTGCAGATTAGAGCTTCAAGTTTGTAGGATGCATGCGTACGGTTTACGACAGGAGTGAGGGGTTTAGGGTTTAGCGGTTTAGGGTTTGAGGCACTAGTGACTGAGGTTTTTACATTTTTGTTTTTTTTGTTGGGGGGGGGTTCAGAGACCAAAGGGGCACCGTTAGGCAAATCGATGTATTCAGTCTACTTTTAGAGGTTTGAGGGGTTATGTTTCGCTTATTCGACGTCAGGGTTTTGTGTTTAGGCTTCCGAGTTTTTGGACAGAGTGCTGGAGCCTCACAGCGATTTAGCTTTTCAGCTTGCCATTTCAGATGTTGCCTCCATGCTCCCAGGTCTCAACTTGTTGTCTCTTTGCTAAGGTGCAGATCTCAAATTCCGCATAAACCTTGGGAGCTATAGAGTAACTCTGGACCTCGACGCAATGACAGTCCTGTCCCACGGTTTACAAGCCCCCTTCCCGGAACCCTTGCGGGCCTTGTAGGAATCCTTCACAGAGATTTCCTAGCACTGCCGTTAAAGGCCTCTGCCGTCCTAGGAAAAGCTTAGCAGCTCAAGCCTAAGTCCGTCCTGCAGCAGGCCTGCCGCGCCGGAAATGACAAGTGCGTTCGGCTCTGCAGCTGCTTTTAGCATCCCCCCACCTAGCATGAACCCCAAGTTGCAGGGTCCTGCATCGCAGGACACCCGACAATGAGGGACCCCCGCTTCGGAATCCGAAACCCTGAAGATCAGATCTGTGCTGCCCGAGATCCGTGAATGTTGGGGGCTCCCGGCTTCGGAATTTGGTGTAAGCCTCGAAAGCCCCCCCAAAACATGAGATTTTCACACAAAAAAAAGCCGAAACGCTAAGTCGTCAAGCCCCTAAAAATTCTGCAACCCACCAAGCCTCCAAACCCCAACCCGTAAACCCTAAACCCTAAGCCGTGGCTCGAACACCCAAATCCCCAACTTGGAAGATGCCCCAGACCTGACTTTCTGCAGGCGTCTAGGGTGGGCTGGGTCGATTCAAAGTCGCGGGGATTTACATGGCTTTGTCAAGCTTTATGGGGTTCTGTCGGGGTACACGGATCTTTGCCACGAAGATGTTGCAGTTTTGGATCCTGTGCTAGGATCAACTGTAATGTGGAACTCCAAGATCATGCTTCAGAGTAGTGCGCGTAGCGGCCTAGCGTAGGGTGGCTAAAACTTAAACAATCAGGTCAGAACACCTCCACATCCTACGCCCTACCTTAACCTACCAAAACCTACTTTTTTGTAGGGTCCCTATAAACTCCATATTAGGGTTTGTAATCAGAACCTACAAAAAAGTAGGGTTTGGTAGTTTAAGGTACATAGGGCCCTAAACCAGACGAGATCCCAGGTTGCTTCTGACTCACTCTTCCGCAGCAGGCTCAGTTGCAAAGGCTGCGTTTAGGGCTGAGCATGCAAAACCGCCAACTCCGACTAGGTACTATGCTCGCTTCAGGCCAAAAGTATGCAGGGGTGCAAAACCCTCCCTAAACCCTAAACCCTCAACCCTAAACTTGCACTTTCATTAGCTCTCCCAACGAGGGACTCGACTGTCACCGGGCTTGGACCTTCGTGCTCGGAGTTTGAAGCTTCCAGCGGGCTTGTGGGCTTCTTGAGTGTCAGAATCAGGGGTATAAAAAAAAAATATATATATATATATATACACCTTACATACCGTAGTACGACATGATACAATGAGATGAAATATAGTTTTGATGTAATACAAGACAATATAAATTGACCGAACATACAAGAAGACAGCAGATGATGAAGCATACTATGCTACATGTTACGATACGATACGATACTGTACTATACTTCACTTTACTACATTGTACTATACCGTACTATACTAGACTATAGTATGGTATATTGTAACAGACTATACTACAATACATAACCTAGTATAATGTACATATAGCTCAGCATCACCTGCTAAAGTGATTGAATATAGTCTTATAAAGTAATTGAATATGATGTTATTCGGTATAGTATAATACAAGACGAAAAGGCATAACAGAAAATACGCTGATATAATAGAATGGAACATACTGCACCATATTGCAAAACAACAGAACCTAATACAATACAATGTAATATAGCATAGTGTACTCTATCTTAATATGATGTGATTCCAGAAAATACATAATGATAAGTATACGATAATGTACTGTAGTATCCTATATTGCACTAGATTTTAATACAGTGCAGTTCAATACAACACATATATTGTAATGTATACTTTAGCATAAACAATCTACCCAATATGATATATTGTAATAGAATACAGTATAATACTATCGCACATAAGCCAACATTGTAAATTTTAATATAATACAGTGCAATCTAGAACAATAACATAGTACAAGACAAGATAATGCACTACAGTACAATCTTTCATGAAGTCTAACTTGACATAGGGTAATCTAACATAACCTTATACAGTGTAATAGCACGTCTAATCTAGCATATAAGGTATCATTGCATATGTTAATACAAACATGTATAATCCAGTATATGATATAATATGTAATATAGTAAAATATAGCATATAGTATAGTATAGTTTAGGATCAATGGACCTACGGCTTGTTGCCTCGACATCTACACAAAGCGGAGGGGTCGACCACAGAATAAAACGGGTCTGCTAGTTTGGGAGTTCGCATCATAGGGGTCGGAGCAGGCCCTTTTCAGCCGTCGCATGCCTGGGGGCGGGCTCGGGCTGGGATAATACATAGGTCAGCTCAGGCCCTTTTTAATCTTCTACAGCTTTGCCGAGGGTTGGCACACCCATTATAGCACTATGCTGGCTGCCGGAGTAGGCGCCGACCCCTTTCTAGCAGAGGGGATCGCTAGGCTGCAAAGGGTATGTGCGAACCACAGGCAAGCTAGGTTCCCGAAAGAGCATTGAACACCAGCCAGCCCGAACGCACCAACAAAGAGCCGGGTTAACAATATTAACGCATGATTTTGCCTCGCCTGCCCTCGTGTGAGGGTCGAGTTGCAGGCACGTGGGTAGATGTGGCATCGCCAGACAGCCGAACCGTTAATCGCACACAAGGCGCGCAAGGCCGTGCATGTGATATTTTGCGGTCGGTGCAGCTGAGCTCGTAGCCATGAACACCATGGCTGTGATCGATGCCGGCCCCAGGGGCGCGGGCATCTTCTCGACGGAGCGCCACGGGGTCGGCGCGTTGCTGTGGCAGCTGAACGTTCCGGAAGGCAGACACGGGCAAGGTGCACTGTTGACAGTGTGACGTGTCAGCCGGCACTGTTACGCGGGACGACTCGCGCGAAAAAGTCCGGCGACGGCGACGGTGAGACGACTGTCGAGCCGACGGTGAAGAACATGCTGGGATCATCTTTGCCGAAGGCCGACGCCATCGACAAGGCAAGAGCCAAGCAGCCCGATGCAGGACCCGAGCATTTCAGCCGTTCCGAGACTGGCTCGGTGCTGATGCGGGCACAGTTTCGCATCCTCAAAGAGGCCTTCTTGAAGATGAAGTCTGCCGAGGTGAAAGGTGTCAAGGTGAGAACAGGGGAATTGTCCTGGAAGTGGTTGGCATACTGTACATTGCCCGTAACACTTCAACTTCAAGAACTGTCAATAACTTCACAGATCCTAAACGGGCTCCGTGAGACCCGTCCTTGCCGCAGGAGTTGGAGACACGGCTGCCGGAGTATTTCTCTCGGAAGTACGACAAGATGCGCAGCAAGTTTGACTCGGCACGAAGATCCTCCAGGTACCTCGCAAGTTGCAGGAGCAGCTGCAAAAGAAGGATGCTAAGGACATTCGGCCACTGTCATCACTGTTATCACAGCCAAGACACAAAGCTTTGCTCACCGCAGGAGTGGCTGCAGCTAATCGCCGAGATCCTTGAGTACTCGACAGCTCCGCTCATGCCGCTGCGCCAGGCTGGGAGTCTGAACTTTGGCGTTTGGGGTGTGTATTGGTTCTGGATTCTACATGTTCACAGCGCGCTTGTCGGGAAACCTTGCAGCCCTGCGAGCATGTGAGATCTGTAGCTTCGACGAGTGTTTCACAAAAGTCTGGATGCCTTGTGGCGAGATCTTTCAGTGGTCGACAGCTGTGCTCCACGCTTCAAGGCTGGGAGTCTGACCTTTGCTCCAAAGGAGTTTATTGGTCTCCAAATGCTCGCAGCACACTTGCAGGAAACCTTGCAGCCCTTGTAGCATCTGAGATCTGTAGCATCTGTAGCTTCGGTGTGTGCTTCACAAAGGTCCGGAAGGCTTGTGGCGAGCTCCCTCAGTAGTCGACAACTGTGTTCCGCTGATTTCCGCTGTGCTTCAGGGGAGTCTGAGCTTTGCTCTAAAGGAGTTTGTTGGATCTACATATTCGGAACACCCGGGAAGGGAAACCTTGCAGCCCTGACAGCATCATTCAACATCATTCTGAGAGGTTTTACAAAAAAGGCTCCGGAAGACTCCCAAGTCTGTGTGTGTGTGTGTCTGTGTGACTGTCTGTGTGACTGTCTGTGCAGTGTGTCTGTGTATGCATGTGTGTGGGTGTGTGTGTGTGTGTGTGCGTGTGTGTGTGTGTGCCTGCGTGCAAACCCTGGCTCCAGACTCTACAAACCGCAGCGGAGTCTGCCCCCACCGGTGTCAAACCCTGAACCCTCTAACATCCTATAACCTTCAGCCCTCGATCGAGAGAGCGAGAGAGAGAGAGAGAGAGAGAGAGAGAGAGAAAGAACTTAGAGGGCGCGCTCCACGGGGCGGTGAGTTCACTCC